CAACACTGATATATATACGCAAAATGATTTGGCAACTACATCCTTCCAGAAGCACAAGCCTCCCATTGTTGAATACCAAAACACGAGCTTTGCTTTTGTATTTGAGTGGATGCTGTGCAAGTTTTCCTTCATGCCTTAGTCCTTAAATAAGCTGTTTTTCAGCAACACACTTATTTTTGTCTGACTGAGCAATAGGCACATATGCGTATGCTTAGCAATATATTTGGAGGAAGCAGGGCAGTTGTCATTCATAGTTTTTATCAAAATACATCTTAATTGAGTAGCAGCATTAACCACAAATGAGCCAGAAAAAAGGACAACAATAATGACAGGCCACTAGAAATAATCTGTTGTCTTCTGGGTAAACTGTTCAATGCTGAAACTTATTATCTGTAAAAGCACCTTTTGAATCACTTTTGTTTTGCCCCATGGAATACCTTAATGTTTCTATCGGTAATAAAATTTCTGGCTCGCAATACTGCCCTTGTCTGTAAGACTGCAAGAGAAGGGAAGGGAAAGAGATGAAAACAGGGAAACACAGAACTGCTGTTATTATTAAACCTTTAAGTTACAGAGTTAATTCCAGCTAAACATTTTTATCTGTTGCACTGTTTATAGGAAGTGGACTTTTTTCTAGAAGGGAAATCTAATTTTTGCACCCAAGTGTCAAATCACTCCACAGCCATCTATATCTGCACCGACTGTACTTCTACAAGTAATCTGTTAAGCAGCACATCCCCAGCTGGGGACTGTAATTAGGGTGCGAACTGCCATACAATCCCCTTGCCAGATTGATGAAGGAGACCTCTTACAAGGTGATCCAGCAGTCAGTGTTGAGACCATTAATCATTTATCCATTGAGGAGAATACAAAAAGCTCTGCCACCGAGAGCGTTACACTGCAAAAGTATCATGACAAAACTAATACCTAAAAAACCTAATAAAGTTTTAATTATAAGGTCAGATATTAGTTACAGTATCATTTTTAAAGTTCTAGGTAAGCTCACACCAAGAAAGACATATTCAGATTTCAGATAGGATTTGACACTCGTGCTTTGCTACTCCTTTTAAAGGATTGATAACAATCGGCTCAGAGGCTTTTTAGCTCTGCTAGCAGCAATCCCAGATATCAAAGACATGTAATACTAAGCTACAGAGCAAGCTTAAATACACTGCCAGTATTTCAGCTAGCAACTATTTATCTGGGGGGGATCTGAACTTACAGAAAATGCAGGTATTTCCTATAACGTGTGACTACAGATATTGTTAGTACAAAAATTCAGTCTACAGTGAGTACACTAACTTTTGAAAACCTGCCTAATGGGGTCTTCACTTTCATCCTGATCACGTAAGTCTTGACCCTGCCAAACTCAGCTAAAAATTTTTAAATAAGCTTACTGTTAATGAAATACCTCAAGTGTTTAAAGTTGAGTTTAAGCTTAGGTGTTTCTCTTCTTCATTTTTGTTCGATCCAGTAAGCAAATCTGCACCGTCCTTACAGAACTCAATGAAATTACGAGATAAAAATGCAAAAAATCAAGATCACTTATGTAGTCTAATGGTATATTACTAGAATTTGAAACATTTCTCTTTGGAAAAAAGCTTTTAACCTTGTTTTGAACGTACCTCTTATTTTACTTATCACACATCATCCAAGAATTATCAGCATCAAAAGGTTCTTAACTATATCCATCAGTTTCAAGTATGTTTCACCTGAGCCCAGCCTAAGGAGGAGCAGGTTGGGCAGGGAAAAGGGAGGAAGTACACTCCACCCCCTCCCTTGAATTACCTGGAATTTAAAATAATTGCCTAGGAGAATTCTGCTGTTTCAAATGCAAACAAATTCTATCATCTACAACTACCTACCAGACTAACAGAAAACATATTTTTCTGTAGAATGTGAAATAGGGAGGAAGCTTAATCCAAACACATCATTACATAGTTCAACAGGATTTGCTTACAAACTCTAAAAAATACTGTAGTGAAGGCGAGCTCCTAGTAACCTAGCCTAAAAAGCAGTCAGCGGGCAAGTACCTTTTCTTTCTGACAACTGAAAAACATAAATTTAAATCATTTTCCACAGATAATCAACAAGCATATCCAAAAGAAAGAGGAAAAAAAATCTGTCAACTGTGACTATGAAGTTAAACCATTTTAAACATTCAAAAAATATTCTTATGTGCAAATTATTATAGTTCCCCCACAACTTTCTTCATCCCCTATAGACAAGAGGATTTTTTTCTTAAAGACACAGCAAGGGAGGCAAAGAATAGGAAAAGCACCTCAGGAGCAAGGAAAGCCCAACAAAATTTTTAGCATCAAGTGCCTTTACAATGAGGACTGTTTTGCAAACATAACTGTAGACACAGCAAAGCTCTTTATTTGTTTCTGCAACATTGGGAATCTTCTGATTTCCAAAACCCTTCCTTGCATGAATAAGCATGCAAGTAATCTTCCAAATATGTCAGTGAGAGAAGGAAAGCAGAAATAGCTTCATTATCCTTATACAGAACCTTACAGGCAGCTGTGGAACCCAAGTTTCTTAAAAATTATTGCCATGTTGAAAAACCATAATCCATTTCAACAGCAAGTTCTATCATATATCACTGATTCCCTCAGTATTTACATTTTTCCAATATTGCCTGAACTAATATAAGAGCTCAGCAACACAGCAGGAGAATACATAGGATAATTCACACGTTCAAAGCCACCAGATGTTTTTCATAGGAGTCAGTAACATTAAAACATCACCTAAGGGAACAGAGCATAACTTGCAAACATGAAGATGACAAAAAGTCTTTATATTATTTCTTGAAGCTTGATCTTGCACAATGGAATAGAAAGTGTTAAACACAGCACATAAATTAATACCACACTATTTCAGGTACTTAGTTAACATCCAAGTTACTAGTATGTTGATCTTATTTTGGAGTAACAAGGAAAAAACCTACCCTCCCCAACCTCCTTTTTGAGTCTTGCTGCATCATCACTTACTGGCATTAATATTGCTCTCATCCTTAGGCAAGCCCTTAAAGACTCTGATCCTTTATATCCCTTACAGGGAGCTATTAATGCTGCTACTCAAAGTTTCTGACCTTTAATTCTCAGTCCCAGTAGTGTTATTCAGATTTTTCTTTTCAAGATTAGCAGAAAATAGTAACTATTCCCAAAGTTTTCAGCTCCAAATGTGCTCCTCTGAAGGATCAGACACTTCCCAAATTCTGCCTGACCTTCCAAATCACTTCAGTTTAGATGTTCTGCCTTTCAGAAGTATTCTGGCAAATCACTTTGAAAATGCTTAAATAGTTGCATAAAGTTTTACATCCCATACTGAATTCCCCCTCATCATCCTCTGCAGGAGGATGACTATTGCTGTGATTATTTTCAGTGAAGCCACAGTGCTAAGTTCCATTTTCTTTATTCCTGGTAACACCCACCCAGCCTTCCTGCCCTCTTCTCCACAAAATTACTCAGCTTCCCTGTTGCCTCTTTCAAGAATATTCATGAGGAGCATCCCAGAATCAAAATAATACAGTTATTATTTGTTGTCTTCATCTAATGTGTATTTTTTAACTGCCAGACACAGAGGCTGCATACCTAGAAAACCAAGCGTGTCATTTTCGGAACCACCCCATGAAGTCATCTTGCATTTTCTTTTCAAAGTGTAATTAATATATGGTGTCTTTTACAAAGTGCAAAACACCTTGCACACACACTCAAAATAAACCCCCAAAATAGCCTACCTCTCCCAATCTCCCAAAAATCAAATCCGATCATTTTAGCCCATCAATACCTTTCTGCATTAAATCTTCCCCGATATGAAAATCATTACAGCTCATCTGGAAGACTGACAAGCTAATATTTCTCTAGACCCAGAGAAAGGGTATCCCACTGCCGAGACTCTTCCAAATAGCCAGGGAAAAAAGTTACACCTATTCAAACAGAGAGTGAGCCAGGCTCAACCAGCACTGCACAGGGAAGAGGCAATCAACTTGACAGTAAATGTAATTAGTGTTATACTTCCAGCCAAAATTAAGCATGATACAAGCAGATATATCAAACAAATTTGACATGATCTATTACCACCAATGTGCCTAAATATATAAAATCACTGATGTGCCTAAATATATTAAAGGGGGGGGAGGGGGAATTTGGATTTTAGAAGGGTGAGAGTAGGGGTTTTTATATTTTAAGTGGGGGAAAAAAAAAACCAAAACCAACTAATCTTGACATGCTTCCATCACTTCTGTCTCTACTTTGGTCGTTAAAGTTTCTCCTCTCCAGTTTCTATTTCCATCATGATCAGAGTGACATAAAACATCCTCTTTTTTTGTAGCTCACTAAAATCAAAGTAGCATCATGTCTCTTTTTCATGTCTTTTCTTCCCCTCTTGTCATTGAGAGGCTTCAATCCATTTGCTTTCTAGACACATTTGCAGGCCAAACCTGTTTCCTGACATGAGCTCAGTTGTTTGCCTCTCCTCATTTACACTCACCAAAACTTGCTCTCATAATATCACATCTCCTTTCCAAACTGACACCATCTCCTGGTTGTCACTCCCACATCCCTTTTTCCTGGTACCAATACCAAATTCCTGTCATCTCTGCAAGTTTCCTAATACAAGTAGTTTTCTATTATTTAAACACATTAAATCACACCACGCTCCCCGTCAACTAGCAAAGCTTCTCTACATTTGCTCAGATTAGCTTCAGTGCAACATGCTGCCCCAGATACGCTTGTTCTCAATCACTTCAGTATGCAGACCAAACATCTCAGTTTCATTTCACAGGTCCCTGTGTTTAGCAAAATAAGACAAAATAATAAGATACTGCAGCAACCTCTGCAAAGAAATCCTCCCTTCCCAAATTCCAGTCTCAAGATCCAGAAAAAGAGGAGAAAAAAAAAAAAAGCCAGACCATCATCTAGAACTGAGAAAGGTTCACAAAAGTCTTGGAAAATAACTTATTTGAGAGCTACTCTATCAAATATAAGTCCTCAATACCTAATTTAGACCTGATACTGGAGAAGAGGGACTCATTCCCAGCTCAAGACAAAAGCAGAAGAAACAGGAAGACAGCAATCCTCAATGCTCACAGAGTTAGACCCAGAGATTAAAGGGCTTCTCTGTTAAACAGAAAATATATTTTAAAAATAAACAAAACCAAACCACACACCCCACATCTCCTTTCCCAAATGAGAAAAGAACTGAACTAGAATGGAATGTTTATTTTCTTCTTGCTTCTGCTAGAAAGCTACACTACAGCTTTCATTTAGAGGCAACCAAGCTCTGTTCCATGACCCTTCATTTGAGGGAAATTTAACCTTTTGATTATTTTGTTCAATTTCTCCTTTGAAACAAACTTTTACTTAAAAATACTATCATGAAATCCAGCAATGTTTAGACAAATTCAGTAATTTCCTAAGTCATTCCACTTCTTCTGAAACAGTGACCTTTCACTAGCAATATGCTCTGAATACACCAAATCGTGTCCTTCCTAACTAGAAACTCTCATACACCCTGTTTTATGCAGCACCTGAACTTGCCACTAAAATACTTGAGGCAGAAAAAATCTAGGCCAAGCAGAGGTATTTGTGACTTTAATGGAAAGTTTTAAAATTACCTCAAAAAAGCAAGTCTTTAACTAGACTTGTCTTTGCTATTCCAGCAAACACAGAGCACATTGCTGTTCATCTCTGATAAATTACTCTCCCAGAGAATATAAACCACCCGTGTTGAGCTCCAGAAAGGCTCTGGAAGAGAGCTCAGTTTCAATCCACTTGAGACAAAAAGCCAGTCACAAAACAGACTCCATCCCAGCGGAAAGCCTCCCTCGCTCACAAACACAAGTTTTAATCCCATTGATTAAGAGCTGAATTGCATTCACCTTTATTGTGCTACATCTTCAGGTTGTTCTTCCATCCATTACATTTTCTGTTGTGGGCGTATTCTCCGTTTTATTAACTGTAATTTAATTCAATACAGATTCCTACACAGGACAGGTTATTTTCCTGACTGTTTCAAAACATTTCACAAGATGGAGCACAGATGAATTTTTAAATAGCAAAACAAGACCAAAAAAAAAAAAAAAAAGCCCACACACAAGAAGAAACCCAGAAATCTACTGCGTGTTTCTGTTGGGCTGGTCGTAAAGTTTGCCGTATCTGTCAAGCCTCCCACCACCTGTTTTGTTTCATGAATGAAAAACCAAATGCATAAACTGCACATCACTGCTTGAGATAGCTGCAATCACAGGGTTCGCTGCTTTCACCTTCACTGAAGCTGTATATCATGTTTACTACAGATACCTGAAATTAATTACACAATCTTAAATATTTGCAGCCTACACTTTTCCAAGTATCTCAGAAAGCACATGTTCATGCCCAGGAGTCATTACCCCTATATTACAGTACCCTCAGCCCCAATGCTCTGCTCTCTGCTGACATCAATTTTGCAATGAAAACACAGTAATTCAGTGAGAATAGGTGCCTAAGGGAAGATAAAAGCATCTGTCTAACGAGTGAATATCACTGTCCTGTCATACACATAAAAAATATATATTTTTTTTAATATATATATTTATATATACTTACATAACCTACAAGGTGCTATGGCAAGTTACACTCTCCACAGTCTCCTGTCCAAAACACAGCAGACAGAAACCCACGCTGCTCTCACCATGTGCTGAAAAGATACCAGTATGTATTACAAGCTCTGGTGGGACATGGATCAGAAACAGCCACAATTATACCTAACAACTGAAGAGACTGTTTCATTTGATCTTTCCCTTGGAAGGTGATGCCAGTCTGAAAGAGCCAAGTGGCACATAGCATCTTTCTGTCCATTCTTGGCAGCCTGAAGACGGACACTCTGAGCAAGGCTGAGACCAGAAGTTTGCCACATTAATTTAGGCTATCTCCAACCTTCAAAAATACCCACTATTCACTACCAGAACACCCCTTTTCTGCAAAAATACATTTTCTATTTCAGCACTGAGTCAGGAGGGTGACTATTTAACAACTTTCTAATCGTTTTTAAGTAGTTTTCAGTGCTACAAAGTCTTCACTCTCTCGTCATTCATACTACCCTTTCAGGTCACACCACCTCAGCTGAAATACCTTCCATACTTTGCTGCACTGCAACTGGGTTTACACACTCTGCCTTTATCAACAGGGACACTGGAGCCACTGTAGGTATCAGACAGCAGATTATCTTGCATGTTATTCTATCTTCAACAGCGCCTGCCCCGCACATGCATGGATACACCATACATCACACACGCACCTTCTGGCTCTGCTCAGCAGCTCCACAGAGGACCAGTTTCCAAACCTCAGCAAAGGGGATAGGGCTGCAAGAGGCAGGCAACGACAGGAAGGCACAATCCACTAAATAATATGAAGATGGCTTAGGCAGGTATGATTTACTACATCATTAACACAGTTTTTTTCTTTGGTTTCTCAGTGGCCCTTGAATCTCTCTTTCCTCTCCCATTTCATACTCTTCCTCAAAATAGCTGCCTGCTATGCGAGTGCAGGTGGAAAAAAAAGAATAAACAAAAAAACCCAAACATTTTAAGTAGCTAGCTCATTTTCAGACACAAAATATGCGCATTACGTAGATTAGACTCAACAGAAAAGGGAGAGAAGCAATCAAAAAGCTTTGCCACAAAAAAAAAAAATAAAAGATTTTGTTTTGGTCAGAGTAAAAGCTTAACAAATAAAAATCATAACAGAAAGGAATTGCAACTAAAAGCACTCCCAACAAAAATGATGCAGCATATCCTTAATACTCAAGTGTTTAAACTGAATACAGCAGAAGTACAAAGGAATGCCTAAAGGTGACTCAATAAGGAGGAATTCAAAATAGAAATAGCATTACCAACATGTTTATCTTAAGCTTGCTAGTCCAAAACACAGTATTTTTTTGTTCTTGTGTTCAAAACAAGACCGCAGACAACCAGCACTTGTGCTTAAGATGCAGAAGTACGGTAGGAAGGTTCATCAGTGACTCAGAGGCTGGACCTCTGCAGACTCACAGAGCAAGCAGAGAAACCTGCCTTCCTTGCAGAGTATCTGGTTTTAAATGACCAACACAACCCTAATTCTCTGACACAAAACCCTAGGATTTTGGGGTTCTTGTTTTGTTTTTTTTTTGGTTTTTTTTTTTTGTAGGGTTGTGCATTACCTGTTTCCCTACCACATTACCCACTTCATCACAACCTAGAAGCAGCTTCAGATGTTTTGGGATGCGCGGCTTCCAGGAGGCACACCATCCTGGCTTCACCTGGCAACCCACCTTCATTTCACAGCACACCCTCCCATTTACTTAATATGATCTTGGGACAAATAACAGCAAAGGTAGCTTTACCAATATCTGGAATGCTACCTCAGTAATAAATTAAGATTTTCAATGATCAGGCAAAGAGGTGGATTGAGATATGAGCAAAACCTCACAGCATAGGACAACCCAGAACACACTGAGCAACACACCACGACAGCACAGAGAACTTTGACCAGGAAGTCCAAATGAAACTCAATTATAATGATGCAAGACAGCCCATCCACAGCTTCTTAACTGCTCTGGTTTACAAGCAAACACCATGAGTCTCCCCCTCTTAAACAGCCCCAGCAGCACTCCCTTTCCTCAGCCACACTGGTAACACAAGGGCCTGTGAACTGCAGCCAGGACAAGACAAATTCTCATTTTCTATTGCGTTAATAACACAGCAGACATGTTTTGTGAAAACAATGCTTTTGTCTCACCACACTGAAACATAAATCACTGATAGTTCAAGATAGTTCCAAACACTTGTCTTTCTGAACACACATCGAGGCAGTCCAGCAGGACAGTTTCCCTCACCTACAAAACACCCTGAGAAGTTCCTGGTTCCCAGAACCACCTTTGTGTCAGGCAGCTCAAGAAGACAGGTCTCCACTTTCCCCCCATCCAGCCCACTCCAGCATAGCACACATCATTAAAGCACAGCGTATATCTCTAAGAGAGCACACACCATTAAAGCACAGCGTATACCTCTAAGAGAGAACTTACCTCCCTGAACAACAGCCTGGAGGCATTTCCATCACCTCCTTAATCTGCAATAGCATCCCTGTTGCTCAGCTTTCATAATGCCTTCCGGTTAAGGCACGGGGTGCGAGTAGCATCGCAGGGCAGGGAAGCAGAACAGACGCAGGTATTCATGTTGGTGCAGCACTGTCAACTCAGGTATTTATTTAAAAAAAATAAAATATCTTATCCCACTCTTTGCTTACAGCCTGCACAGCCAGACGAGCTTTAGTTGCCTTGGACACCCGGATAAGACCATTCACATCACATCTTCCAGCACTGACCCCCCCCCCGCCCACCTACCAACAGCAACGGGGAATCAAAAGCTTCCAAAGTGCACCCACCACCTGGGTTTTCCACTCCCTAAAACCACTCTCTCATTGCTACCTTTGTGCTGCTATTTAGCAGCAAGCTTGGCACGGGGTACGCGCAGCATCTGGCACGTTTCACCAGCTTCAGCTCAGGCTCCTCACATGCTTCCTTCTGTTGCCAGTCACTGGGATAGTTGCTGCTGTGCTCAAATACAAAAGGAGCAAGTGTCTAAAACAGGCATGAGAGCTCTGCTCATCTGTCTGAGGGCACAACACAAGAGACTGAATACTGGTTAGGGAAAAAAAAAGATCAAAAAAATTTATCCTGAAGTGCAAGGAGGCACGTGGGAATCCCCACCTCTTCCCTGCAAACCCCAGAACTTTTGTGACATCAAAGGCAGCTAAAAGCAGCAGCCTGAGTGCCTCCTACCAGAGCATCGTGTCAGCAAACACACGTCAGTGCGATCCTTATCGGTATGACTTTCTAGTGAAGAGACGTCCCTAGAAAGCAGTCACTACAAATACAGTTTTCCTGAATATCATTACTGATCCAGAAGTAATGAAATAGCAGATAATATGGCCCCAGGGTACAAATCAACCACCTACCCTAATGCATACAGATGGAGCTTAACAGCTCTTCTGGTCTTCCATTACCAGAGTGAAATGGGATCTCTGAAACACCATCATGGCAAAGCAGAAGGGAAGCTTACTAATGAGTGGTGTTTATTTCCAGTTCTTCAGAAAAGGCTTTTAAATGCTGCAATCTGAAAAAAAAAAGACCCCTTTTTCACGTATGGAGTAGACACAGCTTCCCCTCACAGAACCAAGATAAAAAAGCAGAATGCACTGCTCTTCCCAGATTTTGCAGAAAAGGCTTTGCCAAAAAACAGTGTCTAAATACTTTCTGTAAGAATCTACAATGAAACTTTACCCAGTCCCACCAAAGAAAGTAGCAAACCTGTCATGACTTACAGCAGGATCATGTGCCGCTTGTTGATGTTCGCATCAGTTAAAGCAGTAACTTCCACAGGGCTCTAACACCGACCCAGCAAATGTATAAAGTACAAGCAGGCACAGAATCTCTCTGCTTCCATCCCCAGGAAATTTAGCACTTAACACCTAGTGCCGACTCCCACAAAAACATGATGTTACGCATTCCAAGCTGGTCACATCCCCACAAACCAACCAAGCCAACGTGCAGTCCAGCACCAATGTCACACACCCTGAGGTGCCCATACTTATCTACATTGAGAACATCCCTGTACGCAATCAAGCATGTTACTTTAATGCTACCAAAGAGATATTTAACATCAGATTATTTAAACTCTCAGAAACTAGAGAGTTCACCACTTTTTAATCCATTCCCTTAAAGTTTGAACGTTTTATGATGCAAGTTGAACATCCATGCAAGGCACCTGCCTGGCACCAGACACAAGAAACAGCCGCTCGCTCCGTTCACAGCATCCTCTCTCTCCTAGGTGTCTTCAGTGACACCTATTTCTAAGAGGCACATTATCCTGCACACACAAACATCACCTGGACAACTTCCTTCAAAAATTACGCTCTCAAGAAATCAATTCCTTAAACTGATTCCTTAATTAGAGGAATTAATATCTTTCAATTATACAAAAGAGCTGGAGGCAGCGGTCAGCAAGTACTTTTACGACCCTCATCTATTCTTCTAAAAGCCTTCTCCAGAGCACTCAGGCAGGGGGATGAGCGGGAGAGAGGCAAGAGGAGGGCAGAAGGAACCCGATTACAGCAGTCCTCGTTCACTCGAATTAGTCCAAACGCTACCCAGTTTGACCTTGAATTAAGAACAGCACACAAAATAAGCAAAAGGACAAGTATGATAAATTAAGAATAAACGTTCAGAGTAATGGAAGTGGTTAAGGAAGAAGCGTTAAATCGGAAGGTACCCATTTAAAATTGCTGAATGAAGAATCAGTGGAGGGAAAAATGCAACTCAAACACGTTTCAGTACTGTGCTTGGGGTGGGTGGGTGAAAAAGTATGATTTTATAAGCCATCTTACACAACAAAGAGCACAAAACCCAGAAGCGGCACCTCGGCGAGGAGAAGCAGAGCTACTTTTAACAGCTCTTCAGCAGGCGCAAGTTCATAGCAGATACCTCACCCAGCGCAGGGAGACGGCAGCCCCATTGCGCGCTGCCCAAAGCGGCTAATGTCCATTAAAACTTCACCTGTGTCTCGGAGGCAGCGGTGCAACGGCACCAAACACCCACCACCCCGGACACCCGCCGGGGCAGGACCCGGGACCGGCAGAGTGAAGCGGAGCGGACCAGAGCACAGCGGGCGGGCGGCCGCGCTCCCCGCCCGGCAGCGAGCCAAGCGATCCCGGCCGGAGAGGTCCCCAAAAAACCGCACAGCAACTTCTCCCGCGCGGCGCCGAACGACGCGACCGGGCCGGTCCGTCCACCCGCCCCAGAGCCCCGAACCCACCCGCTCCCCCGCCACCGGCGCGGCCGCACCTCCTCGCAGCACGGGGCGCGACATCGAGCCCGGCGCGGTCCGCTGCGGCGGGAAGGTCTGCGGTGCCGGCGCCGCGGGCGAGCCCGGGCGGGCGGGCGGCGGGGCGGTGCCGGCCGCTCCGGCGGGAGGGGCGCGCACTCACCGCTAAGCCCCGCAGCGCGGAGGGGCGCGGCGGCGGAGCGGTGCCGCGGGAGGGGCGAAGATGGAGGCGCGGCGGCGGCCGCCCCTCCCGACAGGGCCGCCAGGACCCGCTCCGGCGGCGGAGCCGGCGCCGCGTGGCGCCCTCTGCCGGGCTGCGCTGCCCGCGCCGGGAGCGGCGGTGTGAGAGGAGCGGGGCGGCAGGGAAGAGGGTTCGGGTGAACCCGGGCGGGTCTCCAGGATGCAGCTGTCTCCGCCGCGCTTGCCCCCTCGCCCGGCTCCACAACTGACTACCGGCCCCTGGGCCACTGTGCCCGGCCCGAGAGCCGTATGCAGCAGAGGGTCAAAAACCCCCGGAAAGTTGTTTCCTAGGCTTTTAAGACAAAGATAGACTGAGTTTTACACATATCAAATATGCAGTATCTCCATAAAATTAGCCAATACCGAGTTTAACTGTGTATTTAGCCCACACCAAATTCCCAATATTCCATTTTTCACCAGCCTTCTGATCCCATGCACAGTGTGCTGCTGAGGATGCTTCGTAACAATGCCAGATGATTCCTAATGCGCTCACCCAAAGCTTTGCCCAAGAAATGTTAGTCCCATTGACTTTCAAAGTCATCCAAGTCATATTTTCAGGAATTTAATTAGTGCGAGATATCACCAAACTGGCTGAAAGCCTCGATTAAGGAGGGAACATCTATTGATTGCAGGGAAAGGAGGCAGGGTAGATACTGAATCCATCGCCTTTTAAATACATGAAGTGAATTATCTCAGTTTAGTTCAGCTGCACTGTTTAAAAATTCAAGTAAACGTTATTCAGCACAACCAACGGGGTTTTTTGTACACAGTCAGTAAGTTTAGGTGTTATCCAGGAAAAAAAAAAAAAAAAGAATACATAATATCCAACTCAGCATCAGGTGACTGTATGAATAATGAAATCACTACCAAATTTATTCCCGCTTTTCATGCAGTTCTTATTTCTATGTTGTTAAAGAAGGTTCATTCTCACACTACGTGGGGTGTGAAACTAATTATGACTAGTGAGAAGGAGAAATAACTCCACTGATGTGAAGATGGTATAAACGAACAACACTCAGACACTTTCAGACTACTACATGTCCTTTGTGCTAGCACTGTACCCTGAGGATAGGCTATTCAAAAATCAGCTCACCAGATGTTTTCCATTCAACAAGAATAACGTATATAAAGTTTTAATGGCCATGGTCGTATTGCTCATGTTTGTAATTTTTTTCTTTACAGAAATACTAAATACTGGTAAGCCCTAATGCAAGGATTGTTCATAGCATCTACAGACTCCAAATGAAACCAGAAATTTGTTGTGTTGGGTTCTGTATAATTAGCCAGTGTTCCTGCCTCAGCGACCTTCTGTCTTACAAAGGCAGGAGACAGCAGAGTAGAAACGAAAGCAGAGAGATGTGATGATCTTATCATAAGGTATGAATTCCAGATCAGAGATTGAAACATGAGTTTCCTGCCTCAAGGTTTAGTCCTGCCTCTCATGAATTATTAGGCATCTCCCTGGAAGTTCACTGGGGAAGGAAAGTCCCCCAGAAACTGCACACCGGCTGGTCAGGAATGTTCCAAATGAAGTTTTGTGCAAAAAGTTCTATTTGTCAAAGTGGACAAATACACAAGTGGACAAGGTAATTTGTTTCACAAAGGTTTTTCTCTCAGATCCTTCCCAGGTCAGAGAGCCGTACCCTTCGCTTCTCTGCTGCCTGCTTCTTTTTTTCTATTGAAAAGTTTTGAAAGATCTCATTCTTGTTCGATACAGAATAGAAAACACCTCTTGAAATGTCAGGAGTTCTTCATGAGAGACACTTCTTTTTTTTTCCTAACTGGCCCTGGGCTACAGGCAGTTACGCTCTGTTTGCCTTTCTACAGCCCTAGCATTGTTGTCTGCCAAAAATAGCTACATATTGCACCTCACTCTTAATCTGGAGTTGATGCATCTGGGAAGTGGCACGGTTGCAATTCTTATCTTAATCTGCCAATGTAGAGTTTGAATTAATACAACTAATCTAGCATCAGAGTACGGGAGCCTGAAGTCCCCCTCCTCCCCCACCCAGCCCCAAGAGGAGTCCTCATTAAAGGAAGAGGCAGCACAAGAGGGCAAGAAAAAAAGTCCTTACTGTCCTACAGCCAGCTGAGTGCCAGCTCCCTCCATTGCACACATTCTGGCTTTAACTCTCTTCCTTGAGGCTTTAGCTTCTTTATAGAGGACTACATATACACCTAAAAAAATGTGTAGGAAATCAGTATGGAGTTAATATGTAGATGGTAAAACATGAAATAAACCTGCTTTTCCCAATTTGAGTACAAAAGCTGAAGTAAGACACCAAGAAGCAGCAACAGGAAAATGAAAGCACAACCGTAGTTCATGAAGGAGCTTGAAACTCAAAGTAACCTGTTAGGCTGGGGATTAGCCCAAATCAATTTCTTCTTGTTTCTGCTATTTGTGATCATTCTGTTACATGGATCTTGTCTGCTTTGTGGGGCTCAAAGAAAGAAAACTGGTACCCAAGTACTGTGAATACTGGAAGCATTAAGCCAGCTCTTGCTTGTGGATGACTGGCTCAGCCTAAGAAAGGAATAACAAAGCCACTTGAATGACAGCTTGGATCAAGTTCATAATGACCTGGTTTGTACAGGCCAGGTGTTATGTAGATTGGAGCTTGTTATTGTGCAAAATTTTGGCAAGCCTTGCAATGCAACAGCCAGTTCCAGCAGAGCTGGGCAAAAAGCCACAGACTACAGGCAGGTCTGTCTTCAGCAAGATGGGCAAAGGAGCCATCATTTTCTGTACTTGGCACCTTGGGGATGTGAACCAACCTGCCCGCACAGCATCTGGAATAAAGCTTATAAAGGAACAGACAACAGTTTCAAAACATGGAATTCCAGGCTTAAAAATGAAGAGGAAAGCTTGTGTAAAAACACGTTGCCAAGTTTACTGCCTGTTTCTTAGGGAGCAAAAATTCAGAGCAAAACAGTACAAGACAGAAGCCTCCCACTACAGCATTAATGGAAAGTGAGCAAGCTGGGTTATAAAATTTCCCTATCACTATGTTCTGTGATTGTTGGGAAGTCTTTCATAATACTGTATCCATTTTTATGTTATTTAAAAGTAGTTACTAGAGTAATGCAGATGAAGAGCTATTGGAATTCGGGTTCACCTATGATTTGTTTTCTCACCCTTTAACATTATTTCCCATTACTTACCATTACTATGCACATACTGCAATTTGTTATTTAAGTTAACTGGGCTTAAATTTTATTCTTTCTTTAGATGGCCATTTCTTAAAAAGAAGATGATAAAACAACCAACAAAAAGAAAAACAAAAAATCCAAACCCAACAATTAACAAAAGTATCTTGGGTGCAATTTTTGTAATAATAATGTTGTATTTCAGAAAATCTGTATTTCACCAACACTCAGAATTTACATCTCTGCTCAAAGTTGAGAAAAGGGACTGTACAAATTGGATCAAAGCCAGTTAGACGATTGACCAGATTTCATTTTTTGTTATAGTAAAGACTTCCTAAGTGTGGTGGTAGTGATGTTTTTACACAGTACCACAAAAGCCAGTACAACTCAGGAGAAGAAAAAGAAAGGAAAAAAATAAAAATAAGAGCTATGTAATCTTTACCAGGATATTACAACTGCAAATAAGTGACAGCTTTTTCCATATACGAAGTATGGCACTTTTATTGTAGCAGTATCAGCTTTCATATTGAAGTCCATGGCAGCATAGAAAAGTAGCAGAAAGCCAAGAAGCTAATGAATGCCTGCCACAATGGATTTACAGCCAAAAGGCACAGCTTTAGGTAAGTGTTACAGGCAGGACAGGTCCAAAGTAGAGTGGTTAGTTGGGCTTTAATGCTCCACAGAAAGGTGGGTTACGAGTTTTTTTGAATCTCTCACTGCTCCTGAGCTTGCACCGAGATTTAGAAGTTATTTTTAATAGTCTATTAAAAGCTGGGATCATGAGAACCTGTAAAAGAAATTATCCTCTCATCCTTAGGGGCAGTGCCTCAGAAATCGATGCTAATGAACAGACTGCAGCATACGGAAGCTTGCATTTCCCCTGCTGCACCAATTTTGTGCACTCACAAGCGACACTGCAAGTGCCATCATGTGTAATTAGAAACAGGAAAGGGGGAAAAGGATATCATTCATTCACACTTCTCATGGTGTCATTTCTTTGTGGCAGATTTAACAGAGATTAAACAGTCATTCAGTTTAATACTAGTCCTATTAAGAAACAACAATAATTTATTTTTAATTATGGAGTTATCAAGACACGAACATAACTGGTGGCAGTCCTGTTGTGAACATATCCTTAGATGATGACTTCTTTAGTGACAGAAGACATACACACAGGCAGGTTATTTATCTTTACTAGCATTCTAGTTAGAGTATGCCTCTGTAAAACAGCCAGTCTTAATGTTGGCTCCAAACCCAGCACACACTAGTGAGTACAACACCTCAAATCTCAGGACACATCCCTGCCCAAACATGAAATAAATGCTGAACTCGGATTTGAAATCAATCCTCCCTGCAGCATGGAGTTTGCTGGACATGCAGACATCGATTAGCACACCAGCCCCTCTTCCCCCCAAGCCATCTGTCCCTTCCTGTTCTTCTCCACCCAGTTTCTGCTCTTTGTGTCCCACAAATGGCACCATTTCCTAAGGGACACACGGTTCTTTATATGACTTTATTACACACTACAGTTCAAGGCACAGGTAATGGAGGATGTAAATTGCAAATCAGACATAAATATCAGTGGAGAGAGAGCTTTTCCGATAATGGGCATGAAAGTAAAAAAACTCCCTCCATGGCTGACTGGTCTTGGCCAGCTTCTTTTTGCAGACGTGTCAACAACACAAGGGTTCAAGGAGGACTGAGGTCTGCTTTCACTACCTAACAAGCATGGTGACAAACAACAGCCATGCAGTCAGAGCTGTGTTACAGCTCCCTTAACATTTTACACATTGAAAATCTTTCCAAACGCAAG